GAGAATCATTTACTTATTGCGAGAGTGCTCACCAATTAAGGATTGTGGTATTGGCTTTTAAGGAAGATCGTTCTACAACTTTCAATACCATCTCTCTTGACTGTATTATATTGTTGAATACTGGACAAGAGAGAATGACCAGAAAATGGACAAAAGGAATATGAACTCTTTCATAAATTGAGGAATCGTCTTTGAGAGATGAGGATCTATCTTATGTAATCCTGCATATAATTCCACAATGATTTTGGGTTTAAACTACATCAAGGTTTTAAAAAGGCAAAGAATAAGCAAGAGGCCTTTTTCTTTTTACCAATATATTTAAAAGACATTCACGATCTTGGTGCAAGATATTTTAAGGATAATTGAAAAAAATTGTAAAAGTTTCCTGTAACGGATTTAATCTATTAATAATTTCAAAAAAAATACCACAACGTATACTTACTCCTTCACTACTGTGGATTTATCTAATAAATAACGTTTTTTCATAATACTACTATCGCAAACATTTAATCTAAAATGATGAAACCAAGCCATTCTAACAATCAACCTGCTACTACTCCGCAATTTCTAAATGACATTCTCAAGCAATTAACCAACAAGTCATCAAACAAAAATTCCTTTCCCGTTGCTCCCTCTTCAATTGTGTCGAATAACAATACAGCCACACCTTCGAATAATAGACAGGCAAGGTACTCGTCTTCCAAGAATAACAATAGAAAATCAAACAATAATGTAAATAACGGACACAGAAAGAAACGAAACATTCAAAAGCCAATTAAAATCATTCAATCGAGAAGTTGGTTTGGCAGTGAAGACGATTGGCTGCAGGGAAATGTTGTTCCTGTTCAAAGTCCAAGTTTCTTGTTGTTCAATCAAACTGATTCATCAGTTTTAAAACAAGATTCGAATAATAAACAGAGTGTCGTTTCTGCTTTTGATTTCTTCAAGATTCAAAGGAAGGAAAGTATTGCTGAACTCTCTCAAAACAACAACTCCTCTCTTAAAACAATCATTGCCAATACAGATCAATCAGTGTGTCCAATCTGTGAAGAAGATTTGGATAAATCATACGATTCTCAGAGAATGAATTGGGTTTTGAGTGAGGCAGAGTTTTCACCTTCTCTGCAATTATATGTCCACTCAAATTGTTCCAATTCAAAGAAGAGAAAAGTTATTCCAAATCATTCATCAGTCGAAACTTTGAAAAAGGTGAAAATTTGAAACTTAAATTAATTTCGTCTCCTTTTACCCGCTCATTTTTGTTGACGCTTGTTTTGACGATTTTATAGTCATGAATGACGCCTTTGTTTATGCTTGTTAAGGTGTCATTGGGACGGTGTTGTGGACGTCAAAATGACGTTTTTTTTCGTCATTTTGACGGTGTCAATTTGGGAGTCATTAAGACGTCACAAAAAGCGTCCTCAATGACGTCTCAAAGTGTGTCTCCAATGACGTTACAGAATGATCATTAATTTTTGATAAATTGAAATTTTATTGAACTATTCATAATTCTTACAAGTCGAAAATCTTTCATCTTGAACCATTTCACATTGAGTTAAACCCAATGCTGTGATTTCACACTGTGTGAATTAGCATTGTAAAAGATTTCACAC